AAGTTGTAGTAACGAAAATAGCATGGTCTGGCTTAAAAATAGACAGCTAGACCAGTGGAACAGAATAGAGAACCCTGAAATAAACCCACACGCTTACAGCCAACTGATTGCCATGAATACACATGGGGAAAGGACAGCCTCTCCAATAAATGGTTGTGGGATACTGGACATCCACATGCAGAAGCTTGTACCCTGATCTCTGATCATACACAAAAATCAACTCAAAATGGATTAAAGACCCAAATTTAAGACCTGAAACTATGAAACAACTAGAAGAAAACATAGGGGTACTACATGAAATGGGAGCGGGCAGTGCATTTTTGAGCGAGGCTACAAAGGCATGGGCAACTAAAGCAAAAAATACACAAATGGGACTACATCAAACTGAAAAGCTTCTGCACAGCAATGGACACTGTCAACAACGTGAAGAGACAACCTACAGAATGGGAGAAAGTGTTTGCAAACTACACATCAGACAAGGGACTGATATCCAGAATATATGAGGAACTCAACAGCAAAGAAACAACCCAATTTAAAAATGGGCAAAGAAGACATACAAATGGAAAACAGGCACGTGAATAAATGCTCAACATCTCTAATCATCAGGGAGATTCAAATTAAAACCACAATGAGATATCTCACCCCAGTTCGAATGGCTGTTAACAAAAAGACAGAAAATAACAAATGCTGGTGAGAATGCAGAGAAAAGGGGATCCTCCTACGTTGCTGGTGGGAGTGTAAATTGGTGCGGCCGTTGTAGAAAACAGTATGGAGTTTCCTCAGAACTAGAAATAGATCTGCCTTATGACCCAGCTTTCACACTCCTGGGTGTACACCCAAAGGAAATGAAATCAGTGCATTAAAAAGACCCTACTCTCGGGCCGGCCCGGTGGCGCACTGGATAAGTGCGCCGCTTGGGAAGCGCGGAGGCGCTCCCGCCCGAGGGTTCGGATCCCACATACAGACCGGTTCCCGCTCACTGGCTGAGCGAGGCGCGGGAGCAGCACCGAGGGTTGCAATCCCGTTGCCGGTCCCCGGTCCGGTACGGGGGCAACACTGAGGGTTGCGATCCATTGCCGGACACGGAAAAAGATAAAAGACAAAAAAAAAAAAAGACCCTACTCTCTCATATTCATGGCAACACTATTCACAATAGCCAAGAAATGGAATCAAACTAAATGCCCACCAACAGATGAATTCATAAAAAAAAAAAAAAAACCCTGTGGATACATAGACCCAATGGAGTACTACTCAGCTGTAAAAAGAACTGGTGTCATTTGCAGCAACATGGATGGGACTGGAAACCATGTTAATTGCAGTAAGTCAGGCACAGAAAGACAAATACCGTATGATTTCACCCATATGTGAAATCTTAAGAAGAAAAGTGGTGCTCATAGAAGTAGAGAGTAGGATAATGGTTACCAGAGGCTGGGAGGGGAGAGCAGTGGGAGAAGTGGTGGCCTACCGGGTACGAGACCGTGCTGTCTGCCCTAAGTGAATATGCAGCATAGGTGTGTATGGAAACAACACACCTTACCCCACAAACATGTACATGTAAATTTTAAAGTTGAGTGTGTCTAGGCCCTGATAGTTGCAGGTGGGGCAGAGTGGGAGGGATGAGCTGGGCTGTGGCTGCGGCTGAGGATCAGGATCTTGGAGGACTATAATTTTATCTGTTTATGTCTCTTCTTTCTTTAGGAAACTTGGAGCAAATATGGTAATGATAACAGTTAGTTCTAGGTAAGGTAGTCCTTCCTTACCTATGGTTTCGCTTTCTGCGGTTTCAGTTACCTGCTGTCAACTGTGGTCTGAAAATATTGATATTTTGAGAGAGAACACAAATATAATTGTTCTATTTTATTACCAGTTATTGTTCGTCTTTTATTGTGCCTGATTAATAAATTAAACCTTATCATGGATATGTATGTATAGGGGAAAGCAGTATATTTAGGGTTTGGTGCCTCTGCAGTGTCAGGCATCCACTGAGGGTCTTGGAACGTGTCCCCCGTGGAGCCTGATTAATAAATTAAACCTTATCATGGATATGTATGTATAGGGGAAAGCAGTATATTTAAGGTTTGGTGCCTCTGCAGTGTCAGGCATCCACTGAGGGTCTTGGAACGTGTCCCCCGTGGGTAAGAGAGGACTGCTGTGCTGGAATGAGTGTCTGTAATGTTGTTTGTTGTATTTAAAAAGTTTCTCACTCAGAAACAAGACGTCTACCCAGCACCAGTCCCTAGAAACTGGCAGCCCCTTCCAGTCTGTACTTAGGTATGGGTCCATGTGCAGGGCGTGTCCAAAGAAAGGAGGGGCATTGCCATGACTGGGTGGGTGGGCTGGTTCCCTTCGACCCCCATCCGTGAAGGCCTGTTTGCAGCACTGGGGTGGGTGGTCTTTTTACCCTGAGGATTCCTCATCCTCGGGGTGTCCTTCCCTTCTGTCACTGGTGCACGCGCCCGAGGCTCTCGTGCACACATCCTGTTCTCTGTCTTGTGTGGGCCTTGTACACTGACACAGGGACATGCTGGATTGTGCGGGATTGGATTTGACACTGCTCAGAGCTCCTCCTGCTGGTTCTTGTCCAGGCCTGGAGGGCAAGTCCTCAGGGTCTCAGAAGCCCCTCCCCTGCAGCTGATGTGGGGCTCAGGCTCTAGGTGGCTGGTGGGGCAGGTGGGAAGCTTAAGGAGCCTTGGAATTTCTGTGTGGACTCACTCATTCTGCTCGAGTACCAGAGGGGGGCCCTTTCCTCTGCCTATTTCTTTCCTGGATGGAAAAAGCTGTAGAGATCCACCCCAGACCTTTATCACGTTGGCCTCACAGGTCAGGAGGGAGAGACCCTGGTTGGTAGGGCAGATGGTGTAGACAGGCCAGCTGCTGGCCTATGGGTCAAGCAGATGGGAGGATGGAGCCCAGACTTGGCCCACCCTCCTGGGGGTCTCAATCCCACTTCTGTCTTGCTCTGTGCCTGCTACTCCACACCCCACTGTCCTGCTTGCTAACCCCCGCTGGGCAGAAAAGGGAATCTCAGATTGTGTTGTTTTATACCCAAGATCCTGTGTCATCCTATGCAGTGGACGGGAGGTGTGGCTGGTCTGCAGGTCAGGCCACACAGGGTGAATGCCTGTTGTGACTTTCATGTGTTTGATGTACAAAATAGGAATTGATTGACGTCCCCACAGCTTTTGTGAACTTGAAGAGGTCTGTTTCCTTCTTCACGTTCATTAAAATTAGGGAATCATTTGGAAATTGAAGAAACAAAATACTATCTTTTCTTTTTTATGAATTAACCCAATATTCTTGGAAACTCACTATTATCTGTGTGTGAATCTGAGAAGTGTTTAATTGTCTAATTATTTTAAGTCACTCACTGCAAAGTAAAATAACTTTGTTTTTTAAAAATGTCTTTGGTAATCATTACATGATGTGTATGTATATCAGATCATCAACATACACCTTGAGTATGTACAGTTTTTATTTGTTAAATATGCTAAAATAAAACTGCCTTTCACATATAAGAAACAATTAAAAAGTCAACATTTGCTTTTCTTAAGATACAAATATATATTTTTGGAAGAAAATAAAAATTCCAGCAGATAATCTTATTTTAGTTACATAAAATAATTTAAATATGTGTTATTGGTTGGTAAAAATATTAATATTTACCTAGTTAATTAAAAGGTGAATATATTTCTAGTAACTTCCTAATTATGTCTTGGTCAACTTAGGTTATTAAGAGAATTTATTAAGTGTTCATATGTAGCAGCAAAATTCATTACTTAATGCATTTCAGAGAAGTCTATTGCTTCTTTAAAATGTGTAAAAAGCAATAAACTCTTTTAAAATGAACGGGTTGTAAGGATCCCAAAAATGAAACCTCAGGCTATGCTAAATTGAAGACGATGTATTTGAAAGTCTTGCTGATCGTTTGGAGGTCACTGTGATGCCAGCCTGGAGGAAATGAAGGGGAAGTGTCCTGGTGTTGACCCCTGCCCGAGACCCACATGGGTGGGCAGACCCCTAAGGCTGGTCTTCTTAGGCCAGAGGGGCCAAATGCTTGGCCAGGACAGGGGTGTCTTCTTTCCTGATGCGGTAATGGCCCAGAAGTCGATCTCGTTCCTCGCTTGAGGGTGTTGTGCCGCTCTGAGCATGGTGTGGGCATCTGCTCAGCTCAGCTCCCAGCTGTCATGGCTGTGCCATGGCCCCGCCTGCCCTGGGGCCGCCCCTCGCCTCCACACAGACCTCCCCTTCCAGGGCTTTCCCTAGTACGCCCCCCCACCTCATTTCCCAAGGTGTAGCACCTGTTCTTTTTCTCAGCCCTTTAATGCCTTGTTTTGAATTTGATCACTTCTACTTTATTTCACTATTTATTATGTAAAGTAAAACATGTCATGATTTTCATTCACTGTCATGTCCCCAGGAGAGTGGAGCTGGGTGTGTAGACCTTCTTGGCGTGTGCTTGTTGAAGAAGTAGACATTTGAGCCTCTGCAGAGGCTGGTTTTCCCGCTTGCTTTGTCGGTCTTTGAGGGTTGTCTGTGTGTTTAAAGAGGCAGCAGCTTTCTCACAAGCATTCTTCCGGGAAACAGAAATACGTGATTCTCCTTCTTAGGGAAAAGTGGATTATTAGATTTCTGAACTAGTTTTTCAACTATATTGAGAAATGTTGGGTTAAAAGTTAATTCTAATTGTCCTGGAATCACAGACTTTGAAGAGCTTTTATTTCTGGATTACGTGGTTCCACCAGCACGTGCTGTGTAGACAGCCACAGAGGGGCCTGGGGCAGGTGTGATACGCCCAAGGCACCTGCACCCAAATCCTAGTGGTGCCCAGGGAGCAGCTAGAGCTTCAGAGAGAGCAGGTGAGTTGGGTTAGTGCAGCATCGCCCCCCCCCACCTCTTTTTGTAATTGAGAATTAAGCTTAATGGAGGCATTTGCAATTGAGCTGTAGATCTAAAACGGTGACAGCATCGTCTTCCTGAACCTCTGTGTCCTTGTGTTGCAGGTGTGGTGTCCCTTGTGGCTGTCCACCCATCCACAGTGAACACGCTGGGGAAGCAGCTCTTGCCAAAAACCTTTGGACAGTCCAATGTCAACGTCGCCCAGCAAGTGGTAAGGCACCCAGACGGACCAGGATCTGATGAGCTGATGGCTGTCCCAGCCCGCAGAGTCCACAGGGGCGCTTGGGTTTTGGCTCAGTTTGGAGTGCGAGGCTTTCCTTCTGCCCAGGAGCTCTTGGCAGGCTGTGCTGACTTTTCACCTTCTTCGGTGAGGGTGATGGTGCCTCCCCGTGTGCAGGGGTTTGTCTTTCAGAGTGCTGACCTGTGCCCCGTGCAATGCTCCCAGGAACCGGGCGGCTGATGCTGTGGGCATTCAGGGGATTGGAAGCAGGTGACAAGACACCGGTGTCTCCAGGCAGCCGCCCCCGTCCTGTTCCGTGTCCTCCCTTACCCTTCCAGTCCTGAGCTCTGAGTGTGACAAGGATGTCTTCCTTGGGCGGCTGCTGTGTTGTGGGCTGGATGCTGTGCAGGTGGCCAGGGCAGGGAGGCTGTGTGCTTCTCTTGGGTCCCACTGCAGGCCACGCCTCGGCCAAGTGGGATGTGGGACTGTGGCTGCATTAGTGCTGTTCTTTACCAGTGTCCCCTTCTGTCCTCGTAGGGCTTTCTTTTTCCTCTCTAGTGGGCTCTGGATATGAAGAGGAGCCCATGTAGAATCCTGGAGCCTTCCTTGGTCAGAGTTGGCCCCTGGGAGCTGGGTGGGCAGGTTGAACCTCTACCTGGAGCCTGTGGTTAGAGATGCTCATGCATGGCCATGCGAGGCCTCTTGCCTTGTCTTACGATGCTCTGGCCCTTCCTGGTCAGCCTGGGCTGCGGCCTCTGCTGTGGGGCCTCCTGCCAGGTCCTGAGTGTTGGTAACATAAGTGCCTCTCACACTCTTGCTACCTGCCCCACTGTGCCCTCTCCCCTGGCTGTGCCCCCTCCCCATACCGGGCACCTTTCACCCCGCTGGCCCCCGTCACCCCTCTCTGCCTATGCTGCTGTCCCATCTCCACGCAGGCTGTGTGTCTTCTCAGGAGGGTATGCAGAGAACTTGTGTTCGGAATGAGAGGTGCGGTGTTGTCCCTTAGGTGTCCTCAGGTGTCCCCTAGCTGTCCCTCAGGCATCTCTCAGGTGCTCCCCAGGTATCCCTCACGAATCTCTCGGGTATCCTTCAAGTATCTCTCAGGTGTTCCCCAGGGGGTCCTCAGGTGTTTTCTAAGTGTCTCCCAGGTGGTCCTTACGTGTCTTCCAGTTGTCCCCCAGGTATCCCTCAGGTATCTCTCAGATGTCCCCCAGGTGTCCCTCAGTTGTCCCCCAGGTATCTCTCAGGTGTTGCCCAGGTGGTCCTCACGTGTCTTCCAGGTGTCCCTTGGGTATCTCTCAGGTGTTCCCCTGCCCCAGCAGGAGCTCTGTGCTGGGCCGTTTGCCACTCTCTTTCTGGGGCGTCTCCTTTTTGTGTAAGTTTCATGTTTTCTTCAGAACAATGACCACACACCAGATATTGTGATAATTTCACTCTTTAGTCTTTATTTTAAATTCATTCCTGCTGTTCCATTTATTAAAATACACTTGAAGTTCTCTCAGTCCCTGTAGCAGATCTTAGTGTTTGAGTGTTGAGAGGGAGGGGCTGTGGGTGCAGGGTTCTGCGGACGTCTCTGGCCCCGTGGGAATGAGACAGACCCCTTTCCTCGGCATGACTTGTTAGGTTGCATTTGTCATTGCTGCATGTGCGGAGAATGGGTTCTTGATGCTAGCCTGAGCCGTGTACAAATCCCAGGCAGCTCTAATGGCTCAGTGTCTTGCCAGGAAAATGTGACAAAATTTCGCTTTGCAGAATTGTAGTGGATTATTGAGTCTGTAAAAGTTCTGCCACAGTGTTTGGCATGTCACAGCTTTGTAGTACATGCCATTTGGATAAAAGCTAAAGGTTCCAGTTTCTGTTGCACCTTATAATTCACGTAGTTTGATTTTACAGGTACTACATATTATTTTATAGCAGAGCTTAGCTTGGTGAATCAACCTCATTAATTGTAGCAACAGTTTCTTTTTTAAGATGACCGGTAAGGGGTTCTCAACTCTTGACTTGGTGTTGTCAGCACCACGCTCACGCAGTGAGCAAACCAGCCATCCCTATACGGGATCCGAACCCGTGGCCTTGGTGTTATCAGCAC